TAAAATAAACAATACAGATAATCTGTCGAAACACAGTCATTTTATAACAGACCAAATTTATAACAATGTGGGGGGGGGGCGGAAAAATTAGGACATACCTGATTCTGCAGATGCCTGTCTTTGTCCTTTCCACCCTCAAGATCATTTCTGTATTTTATCTAGGGTCAAAGTACCATGAGAAATGGTGACAGTATAGCCAAGAGCTGGTGATCTGGAAAATGCTAATGCCAAAATATAAAAATTTCCTGTGACGAGGTGCCAAAACTTAAAAAAAAAAAAAAAAGACATGATTCTGGACACCTACCTGACTTTCTGGGGTTATCTTTTTGACTGGTTTGAACCAGATGACTCGGTTTTGGGGAGGGGAGACAATTCTGGGACCATGTAAGTTTTAAATGTCCAAGGTGTGTTTGAGGCTTTTAACTCTTACTGAGAAATATGATCTAAATTTCCCACAAGGGAATCCGAATCCTTTAGAGTGAATTCAAACCTTCCAGATCTGAGATGACTCTAGAATCACTTACCATCAAAGAACTCCAGGGAACAGCAATCTGCCTTCAGAGAATTCTAAAATTCTTGCCAGACTCCTTGACCGGACTATTTTAACTTAAAGACTGGTCCCAGAATAAGTCCCTTGCTGAAGGTCTATTTCTGAAGTTCCTTTCCTATAGGTCCGAAGTGTTTGGCACTCAGGACTCCACCTCTGTCACTTGCACTCACACATAAAACCTGTGAGTGGAAAGGCTTCGCGTATACCTTGGTTAATAGAACTATATGCACTTGTAGACGGGTATCTCTAGACAAATTCATTTGCAAATATATAAATACAAAGAATTTTCAAAAAGACAAAAGAAGATTCTGGCTCTCATAACAAAGCAGTGCCCAATCCAACAGAAACAAACTTCACTCAACAAATGTAAGCTTCTCCTTACCAACAAATGTATGTATCATCAAGGATAAAATGCATATATAAACCAGGTTGCACTTACAAAAATTCTCACAAACACGGAGAAACAGTATTAATTTCTGGAGAAGCAGACAGAGGTTCTGCTCTCAGAGAGTGTCCAGTCTGCACCGAGGCAGATAAAAGAAGAGTGATGACTTCCTTTGTGCAGGTATGAAAAAGAAGTCAAAATGCAGATAAAATCAAAGATGATTTGCAGAATCCATGAATCCTACCCTGAAGTTATGGGTCTATGAAATAAAACCATAGAGGTTGCAGAGGTGGGGGAAAGGAGTGAGTGCATGGAAACATCAAAAGATGAGCCAGCAGGTGGCATGGTGGTTAAAGCACTGGATTCCCACATGGCAGATCATGATGCGTGTGCTGGACCTAGCAGCTTGAAAACGACACAGAGAATGTGTGCTTGTGTGACCAAAATCCTGAGAGGGGAATGGAGGAGAAGGGACTGCAGTGTAGCCCTTCCCGCTGTGGGGTGACTTCTCACTTTCCCTCTCTCTGTCTTTCCTTTGGCAAAAACTAAAAAGCAAAATAAAAGACAATTACAGCATGAGATTTTTTCTTCCTCATTAACTAGCAAAGTGGAAACCCCACTTAAGGTATTAATGTTGCTAACCATTTCCAAAGGTAAAATGAGGCAGAGAGAAAGAAGTCTGACGCTATATTCGTGCATCCTTCAATTTCCTTTTAAGAACCTCTATCAGTGGTTCCTAACTAGGAGTGAGCCTATCTCCCGGGAGGCAAACTTTGGAGACATTTTGGGTCATAATGACTAGAGGGTTGAGGGTTAGAGACACTATAAAACATCTTATAATGCAAAGCATGGTACTCCCAGCCAAAACGCCATCCATTCCAAAATGCCAGTGCTGAGATTATTGTCATGGCTGGAGATGGAAGGTTTATAAATCAGTAAGTCTGTGGTATAAAAGTAATCAGCACCACTATAGGATGAACTATATAGAAACATTTTCTCCCTGGATGAGAAAAATGGAGACCTCTGAAAATAGGATAGGCCCATGATAGGAAAATGAAGTATGCTGAGACATATAAATACATTTTTAAAAATTTCAGGTATTCGTGAAACTATAACTGCAAATACACCTGTAAAATGGGAAGAGCAACGTCTTGGCTCAAATGATTGTCATGATCTATGATTCCAACTACCACACACAAAAAAGGTGCTCATATTTTAAATTTTGATTTAACCTGACAACAGATTTACTAAACAGTGCCATTAAAAATCATAAATGTTAAAAACGAAAGATTAGCTGAGGCCAGCAGGTAGCATGGCAGTCAAGGTGCAGGATCCAACGTGGTAGCTTTGTGGTTTCGGATCCGACGTGGTAGCTTTGTGGTTTCAGTCCAGGATCTGGCAGCTTGTGCATGCCGGCACAAAATCCCAAGAGAAGTGGTCTAGCCATCCCTCCTGGGGGGGAATTTCTCACCTCCACCATCCTGGAATGCCCATGCACCCGACAGCAACACTTAAGGGAAAGAAGGATTAGCTTTAGGGCCAGCCTGTACAGCGTGGCAGTTTAAGGGGGCTGGATCCCACATAGCGCCTGCGTGGTTGATGGCATGAAACCCAGAAAGGAGGGAGAGATGGAGAAGAAAGGGTAGTGGGGTGACCATTCCCGGCAGGGGAGCTTTGTCACTCCCTTCCTCATCCAAAACTGAAAAAATCAAACAAAAAATTAGCTACTAGATTCACAGAGGGGAAAAAAAAAAGTAGCTACTGATTTTTGAGCTATTCAATTGCAAGGAGAGATAGTCACAGTTATTTTTTCCACACGCCCTAAAAGGTATTTATCCTTTTTGTTTTTATGTGTTGGGGAAGAAGAATATGGAAAAGAAATAAACTAAAAACTTACAGGAAGTTTTAAGTTATTAATGATATTGCAATGCAGGCCAGCAGGTGGCATGGTGGTTAAGACACTGCACTCCCACATGGCCAATCGCAGTTCAAGTCCCAGACCTGGTGACTTGCTTTCTTTCTCTGCCTCTCTAGTGAGCACACATACCCTATAGCAAAATAAAAATAATAATTAAATAATTCTTTAAAAAATTGCAATGAATGCATGTCCAGGCGGAGTTGCCAAAAACAAAATTGCAATTAAGTATATCCCAACACAAAAAGACAAAATTATTTCCCACAAAATCAAACCCACTGAGAGGCAAAATCTATCAGAAACAGTAAAATAAGAGACCAGCTTTCATTCATTCTTGATAGAAAAGCCTTTAACTGGCTATTGGGCTTTGTAAAAAGGATGCAAAACAAAGAATGAAAAGGAGATATTATCCAAATATAGTGATCTGACTTATTACAGTGAAAAAACAAACAAAACAAAAAAAAAACCCTCTATTACAAAAATATTTCCAAATCCTTTTCTGTTGTTTGTTTGTTTGGTTGGTTTTTTTGGCAGAGGGCATGTGCACTAGCCAGAGAGAGACACAGAAAGATCCGTGAGAAAGCGCCCGCCACCACAGAGCATGGGCAGGCTGCAATCCCTTCTCGGCCTGTCTCTCCTCTGAGATGTGCAGGCATGCAGACACGTGTATCTGGCACACATATGCACCTGGCATGTTTTTCAAGCTGCAGGGCCCGGGACTCCAACTGTGCAGTTAGTCGTGTGTGAGCCAGGTGTCCTTAACCATGAAAGCAACGGGCTGGCCCTCCAAATCTTACTTAAGGGAGTTAATGAGACTATATATTTGTTAGAACACCTCCATCAGAAAAGTAGTAACTTCAGAAGACACTTCACATTCACTGAACAGGAATTTGCAGAAATACCACCTCACCACTAATTCTAGCATAAATACCTTTGACAGCAACAGCAAGCTTCTCTGTAACTTCGTTACTTATTATGTAACAGTTAGCTCTCTACAAAGGCTTCATGGAATAAAATCCAGACCAAGAGGGAAATAAATTCCTCAAGACAGCAAACTCAAATGGAACCTACCCCACATGCAGGGAGTGTCAAGTAACAGGAGAAAAGGGTGAAAGGAGGCGGTCGGCTGCCTTGGGAAGCTGCTGCTCTTACTGCTCTGTGTTGTTTCTAGCGAGAAAGTCTGAGAATGCCCAACTGTCCCCACCCCCTTTGTGACTCCCTGGCTCAACAGCCAGAGGGCGGTCATCAGCATGGACACCCTCCCAGAGCCTCAGCAGCTGTTCCCAGCACGTGCCTCAGAGGGGTGAGCAGACCGGAAAGGAGCAGAGGTACACAGACAAGCCAACCCCAATGAAGGCAGCTCTTTTTTTTTTCCCCCCAGGTTTTTAATCACAGATGCCCTCGCTGCTGAGAGATAGAGACAGTGAGAGGGAAAGTGAGAAATCACCCTGCTGCAATCCCCTCTCCGGATGCCGCTAAGTACAGGGTTCAAACTGTAGTCAGCCCACATGGGAGCTCAGCGGCTGAAACGTCACATCACCTGCCCACAAAGGCAAGCCTTAAGTCACCAGTTAGGGCACTTTCTTCAAATGAAGCTGTGTTAATTAGGCACTTACTAAAAAACAAAGACATTTATACAAAGATCTCAACAACTCAGAAAGATAAAGGACAGAGAGGAAGGCAAGATTCATGTAAACCACCTGTATTTTGTAAAATACTGGATGTTATACTTTAGCCAGAAGTTTTTTGAAAGAAATGCTACTTGAAAAGGAAAATAAATGATAATTTTCTGTTCCTTAAGAGTGGATACCTTAAAAAAGAATTGATATCCTTTTTTTTTTTTTTGGAGAGGTTTTTGTTATAGGGCACATGCGCTCGCCAGAGAGAGACAGAGAGACAGAAAGCGAGATATCACCCCCCAGGGGGATGGCCACACCGCAATCCCTTCTCTTCCATTCTCCTCTCAGGATCTTGGGCACGCACGCACACGCACCTGGTGTGAGTTTTAAGCCCCTGGGTCCAGGACTTGAACTGCGGTCAGCTACACGGGAGTCCAGCAACATAGCCATTATGCTAACTGCTGGTCCCAGAACATGGAAAAATTAAGGCAGTGTCTTCAAGCTCAATAAGGAAAACCACTGACTAACAGATTCGCTCGAGAAGACATACTGTGTTCATATTCGGATGTGACATAGAAAAAGTATGGCTTTTGACATAAAATATTGATGTTGCAAGTCTACATTTTCCCAGTTATTCAAGGACTTCAAACAGTTCGCTTAATTTTAAAGAATTAAGGAAAAAGTGTTCACATGATTTTGAAACAAAAAGCGAATAATGCTTGACCCAGAGCTACGCACTCGGATGGGAAACGACAGGAGCCGTTAGCCCAGTAGAAAAACGATGGCCTGAAATCGTCCACATGTGGCTGGGAGTGGCTCATGTTCTTTGGAATTTGCTAGAAAACAGAAAGTTTTGAGGTACTGCTGCCTTATCACCTGACCCAGATTTCAACTGGGGGAAAAAAAAAAGAGTTTATTGTTTGTTTGTTTTAAAAAAAGCAATGCTTTCCTCTCAGGTTGTGATGCTCGTTTTAAAACCTCTCTTGGTCACTGTCGTAGTGGTCGTCCCTGAGGTCTGTCTCAGCTGCACGTCAGAAAGCCGCCAGCCACAGTCTGCGGTGTCTCCTCTCGTGTCACATCTTGTTATACCAATGCATGGAGCGCCTCACTGCTTTCACCCAGTTCTCCATACTCATCTCATAGTCTTGCCATTTCTTCTGTGGCTTGAAAACTATTTCACTTTGCCTCAATTGCTTCAGCTCCTCCTTGTCAGCCCAAAACCCTATGGACAAAAAAAAAAAAAAGACTGTCAAAAAAATTTGAAGAATTATGTATTTATTATTATTATTTCCGTTTGCTCTAGGGCATGTGTGCTCACCAGAGAGGGAGACAGAGAAAAAGAGAGAAAGTGAGAAAGCAAGCCATTAGGTCTGGAACTTGAACCACGGTGGGGGGACCAGGCATCTTAACCACCAAACCACCAGCTGCCCTGCCCGCCCCCAATTTTTTTCTTTAACGCTATTTACTAAAAAAGTTAACCTAGAGACCCTCCCTTGCTAAAGACCAAGGCAGCTGTCGACGCTTTATCTTCTTTTTTTAAAAATTTATTTTTATTATTATTTTTCTTAACTTGCTATAGGGCACACATGCTCACCAGAGAGAGACAGAGAGAAAGAAAGAGAGAGAGAAAGAGAAGGTGAGAAAGCAAGCTGCCAGGTCCGGGACTCAAACCTCAGTTGGCCATGTGGGAATCCAGCACCTTAACAACCATGCCAGCCACCTGCTGGCCCTTCACCTCATCCTTTTCTTTTCTTTTCTTTTTTTTTTTTTTAATTATTTCATTTAACTTTATTTATTTACTTTAATTTGACCAGAGAAGGACAGAATGAGAGAGAGAGAAGGAGAGTGAGGAAGCAAGCCACCATGTCCAGGACTTGAACTGTGGTTGGCCACGTGGGAGTCCAACACCCTTAACCACCACACCACCTGCTGGTCCCGCCTCATGCTCTTCTGACTTAAAGAGCAAAGGAAGGGTGGAAGGAGCCCGACCAGACCCACCAACAGAGATCACCCAAAGTCTGTGAGCAACGGACATGCCTACGGAGCCTAAGGAACGGAAGGCCTTCCAGCCTCTCTACACGGTGACCAGCAGGAGAAATGCTATCTGGGAGAAATCGTCCTTGAGAAAGCGCCTGTCTGTCCCAAACGCCCACGTACCAACAGCAAGGCCAGCGAGAGAGGCTGCACCGAGGCAGGACATGTCGACGTGGACAGGTCTGTCTATATCCTCATTAATCAAGTCCGAAGTCATCTGCATGATAAACCCGTTCTTACAAACGCCTCCATCTGCCCTGTGGAAGCAAAATGTATAAAACTGAAGACGACAATGGGAACCAGCAGTTAGCGTAATGGCTATGTCGCTGGACTCCCACGTAGTCGACCGCGGTTCGTGTCCCGGACCCGGTGGCTTAAAACTCACGCCGGGCGCGTGTGCGTGCGTGCCCAAGATCCCGAGAGGAGAATGGAGGAGAAGGGATTGCGGCGTGACCATCCCCCCTGGGGGGTGATTTCTCGCTTTCTGTCTCTATGTCTCTGTCTGTCTGGCGAGTGCACGCGCCCTACAGTGAAAATCTCTCAAAAAAAAAAAAAAACTGAAGACGACAACAAAAGCATCATTCATTGTTTTTAAGCAGGGCCACCTATGTTTCTTAAATCCTTGAGTTTGTAAGTTTAATTTTTTAATTCCAAAATGCTACCAGCATTGGCTTGGTAACAGAGGGATTTACTGGGTAATCTTTCAACATGTTCTTTTATTCCTGCCATCGGTTTTCCTACCTATCCTGTTTGTCTTGGGACTATTTCAAAACAGAACAAGTTTTGTTTTGTTTTTCCTTGAGAGACTTTTGCTATAGGGCGCATGCACTTGCCAGAGAGACAGAGAGAGACAGAGAGACAGAAAATGAGAAATCACTCTATAGGGCGGATGGCCACGCCACAATCCCCCCTTCCTTCAGTCTCCTCTTGGGATTTTGGACATGCACACATATGCACCGGCATGAGTTTCAAGCTGCCACATCCAGAACTCCAACTGCAGTCGGCCATGGGGGAGTCCAGCGCCTTAATCACTACACCACCTGCTGGCCCCCAGACCATGTTTAATCAAGTAAGCCAATACAGAAATTCATTTGGGACCCAGCCGTGGTGGCACATCACGGCTAAAACATGGGAGGCCCAGGAGTAATTCCTAGTCTAACTTAGTTTGTGCAAGGTGGCATGGGCCTGTAATCCCAGGGACTCGGAAAGGCTGAGGCGGGAAGATCTTGAGTTCCAGACGGGAAGATCTTGAGACCTGGGCAAAACAGGGAGCCCCGTCTGAATGAGCTGGGTGTGGGGGTACATGCCTTCAGTCCCAGTTTCTCGAGAGGCCGAGGCCAGAGAATCACGACAGCGAGACACTCTTTGTGAAAAACATACTCATTTTGGCAGTATAGCAAAGACCATCAAGAAATTTAACCCTTCACCCCAAAAGGCAGCTACTCATCCAAAAAGAGATATTAAGATGTGTGTAATTTACGTAATGCACACATGGGTGTCAGGATGCTCCCAAATATTCTCCACACATCCAACATGAGCTTTCTTACCTTCTCTGAATTCCCATAACCAGGAATTTTTGTTGCAGAGGAGCTAGACAGAAGTTACTTTAGAAATTCTCAATAAGAAATACTAATAGAAGCTACCAATTCCTTCTAATTTTTCATGAAACCTGTTAGAAACAAAGCTTACATACCGGATTTTTGTTACTGGAATATGGATTTCTTTCTGCATCAACTCATATAGTTGTTTGTTTCTAGATCAAAAATAAGATCATTGTTTAGAGGACAGTTTTTATTCTGATGCGAAAAAAATGAAAACTATAGTTTTCTTCATTGATATAAAATAAGCAAAAGAAAGCATTAGAAAAATATTGTGCTAACTGGAAATGTCTAATAAATGCTCATCTAAGCAAGAAGTTCAGACAGAATACTCAGTATTCTGTCTTCATATAAAAGTATAATTTCCAGAGAACCAGCAGTTAGCGTAATGGCTATGTCGCTGGACTCCCACGTAGTCGACCGCGGTTCGTGTCCCGGACCCGGTGGCTTAAAACTCACGCCAGGCGCGTGTGTGTGCGTGCCCAAGATCCCGAGAGGAGAATGGAGGAGAAGGGATTGCGGCGTGACCATCCCCCCTGGGGAGTGATTTCTCGCTTTCTGTCTCTATGTCTCTGTCTGTCTGGCGAGCGCACATGCCCTATAGCAAAAATCTCTCCAAAAAAAAAAAAGTATAATTTCCATTTTGCAATTATATTTAATCTAACCTTCTACAAAGAAAAATCTAAAGTGAGCATCTATTTAGTAAATAGCAACTAAGAAGACAGAACCTACATATCGAATCAAATCAATTAAGTATAAAAAGAATCATTTTGGGAGCTGGCAGATGGCATGGTGGTTAAGGGCAATGGACTCCCACATGGCTGACCATGGTTCAAGTCCCAGACCTGGCAGCTTGCTTTCTCATTTTCTCTTTTTCTCACCCTGTCCCTCTCTGTTCAAATTAAAAATAAAGTGAAATAAAACAATTCCTTAAAAAAATAATCATTTTGTAATCACAGAATATTTCACTTTTTTCTTTTCTTTTAGGTTTTTGTCACAGGGCACTTGCTGGAGAGACTGAGAAAGACAGAGAGAGGAAAAGTGAGAAATCACCCAGGGGAGGATGGCCACCGTGCAATCTCTTCTCCTCCACTCTCCTCTAGGGATTTTGGGCACGCACGCACGTGTGCCCGGTGTGATTTTCAAGCCACCAAGTCTAGGACTCGAGTCACAGTCAGTTAGTCATGTGGGAGTCCAGTGTCTTAACCACCGTGCCGCCCGCTGGCCCCCAGAACATTTTATTTGAAACTTTACAAGCAATTCAGCCTCATGGCAGTCACACGTTCTTTTTTAATTTAAGAGAGATTTTTACTACAGGGCACACACGCTCGCTGGAGAAACAGAAAGAGACAAACAGAAAGCGAGAAGTCACCCCCGGGGGGATGACCAGGCTGCAATCCCTTCTCCTCCATTCTTCCTCAGGATCTTGGGCATGCACAGAGTGGGTTTAAGCCACGGGGTTCAGGACTCGAATGGCGGTTGACTACAATGGGAGTCCACTAATGTAATCATTACGCGCTGGTCCTGGACAGTCACATGCTTCATCTGAATAATCTAGACCTGTCCTATAGCAAAAATAGTGTAGGTTTTTAGGGAAATATGCAAAAGGAATAATTCTAATGATTCAATCTTTATATTTAACCAAAGCGTAATTCGTTTAAATACTCCTTCATGGATAAGGATACTAAACCTTTGAAAAATCCAAATTTTCAATCTTTTAGGCTTAAGAAATTGGGCATGTAAAAAACACATTCAAGAGACCAGCAGATGGCGTAATGGTTACGTCACTCGACTCACATACTCGACCAAGTCCCAGATCTAGCAGCTTAAAACTCACGCTGGGCGTGTGTGTGTGCACGCGCGCATGTGTGTGTATGCCCAAAGTGCCAGGAGGAGAATGGAGGGAAAAGCAATGCAGCGTGGCCATCCCCTTTGGAGGGTGATTTCTTGCTTTCTGTTTCTTTCTGTCTCTCTGTCAAGTGTAGGCACCCTATAGCAAAAACCTCTCTTAAAAACAAAAACCAAAAAAACAAACAGGGGTCAGCAGGTGGCATGGTGGTTAAGGATGCTGGACTCCCACATGGCTGACCATAGTTTGAGTCCCAGACCTAGTGGCTAGCTTTCTCTTTCCTCTCTCTCTCTCACTCTGTCCTTCTCTGATCAAATTAAAATAAATAAGGGGCCAGCAGATGGCATGGCGGTTAGGGACACTGGACTCTCACATGGCCGACCACAGTTTGAGTCCTGGACCTGGCGGCTTGCTTTCTCACTCTCTCTCTCTCTCTCTGTCTCACTCTGTCCCTCTCTGATCAAATTAAAAATAAAGTTAAATACAATAATTCTTTTTTTTTTTTGAGAGAGGTTTTTGCTATAGGGTGCATGTGCTTGCCAGACAGACAGAGAGAGACAGAGAGACAGAAAGCGAGAAATCACCCCCCAGGGGGGATGGCCATGCCACAATCCCTTCTCCTCCATTCTTCTCTCGGGATCTTGGGCACGCATGCACGAACACCCGGTGTGAGTTTTAAGCCACCGGGTCCAGGACGCAAACCACGGTCGACTATGTGGGAGTCCAGCGACATAGTCATTACATTAACTGCTGGTCCCAATACAATAATTCTTTTTTTTAAAAAAAGCACATTCAATTTTCTAATACTATTCGGTTGTCAGAAAACTCACAATGTATTTTTCTATGCAAAAATTCATTCTGACTTTTCCAATGACCATATTAAATATGAATAAATAAGAGATAACAAGAAAATTAGTAACAGAACAGATTATATCACATACAGGATATAATAAACTCAAATATAAGGAAATTAATTAAAATGGAGACCTTTCCATTTAGTAGCAAGCTAATGAGGAAAACGGCGTTGCTCTGAAGGGAGGGGACTCGGGGCAGGTGTGGTACCTGAAGGCTATCGATTCCAATATTGCTCGCACGAGATGGTGCTTACTGGTGGAGGGCTTCAAACCCATGAAAGAGGCGCATGCACAGGGGTCGTTTAATGGGGCCTGGAGTAAGAGAGAGAGAGGATGTATTGTTATTGTTCTAAATGACATCCATAGATTTAAGGAAGTATTATATGCTAAAAACCATAACCACGTAAAAGAAGAGAATGCTGGGACCAGCAGTTAGTGTAATGGCTATGTCACTGGACTCCCATGTAGTCAACCGCGGTTCAAGTCCTGGACCCAGTGGCTTAAACTCACACTGGGCACAGGTGCGTGTGTGCCCAAGATCCCGAGAAGAGAATGGAGGAGAAGGGATTGCGGCGTGTCCATCCCCACAGGGGGATGGAGAGTGATTTCTTGTTTTCTGTCTCTCTGTCTCTGTCTCTCTGGCACACACGCTCTATAGCAAAAACCAAAAAAAAAAAAAAAAAAAAAGGAAGAGAATGCTTATTCAGGGTTCAATTTAAAATCATTTAAAATTAAATGACAGTCAGGCCAGTCTGGGAACTTAGTGGCTAATGGAACCAGATCCCACATGGCTGACTGCATGGTTCAAATCCTGGCCCCAGTGGCTTGAACAACACACCGGGTACATATGAATCTGTGCTCCAAATCCCAACAGGGTGGAGAAAGGGAGGGGAGTGGACGGCAGTGTGCCTGCACCCTACTGGGGGGGCTTCTCTCCTCTCCTCACTCTGCTGCTTCTTAGCAAGGGCACATGACCTATGGCAATTAAAAAAAAATAAATTACAGCTGAAAGATTATGTTAGATATTAGGATAATTTTTTAAAAACTGTACTTATGGGACCAGCAGATGGCATAATGGTTACGTCACTGGAATCCCATATAGTCGACTGCAGTTCCAGTCCCAGACCCAGTAGCTGGAAACTCACGCCAGGTACGTGTGTGTGCGTGCTCAGAATTCCGAGAGAAGAATGGAGGAGAAGGGACTGCAGTGTGGCCATTTCCCTTGGGGTGAGGGGATGTGTGATTTCTCTTTCTGTCTCTGTCTCTCCAGCAAGCACACATGCTCTATAGCAAAAATATCTCTTTAAAAACAAAACAAAACAAAAACCTGGATTTATTTCTTCCATGAGTAAGAGAGACAGAAAGAGAGAGAGAGCTAAGATTCTCAATAGGGTCCAGATGCCACAATCCACCCCGGGTTTCAGCCGTGCCCAGACTGTGGGCATACACAGATACACGCAGGCCCGGAGTACTCAGAGTCTCCGGGTGGGAACTGGCAACCTTCCCACGTGGGTCTACCCTGCAGAGCACTGCATTTCACCACTGCCCCACCACCTGGCCCCACAGTAACTTTAAATCGTATTTAAAACAAGACTGAATCACAGTTACTGGCTTTAGCTTGACCTTTGTTTGAGCTCAGACTAAGACGAGGGGCTGAAGACTATGAAAAAAAAGTATTAAATGCCTAGCTTTGTAAAGGTGAACACTGAAAATCTCCCTTCTCCAACTGGGGACCTTTTACACTAAGACTGCTTACTATGCAGAGTAGCTTTTCCAGGATGTGAGTTAAACTTAAACATAATGTAAAAAATGTGCTTTTTGGCTTCATAACTTGGACCGAATACACTATCAGGTGTGAAGACCACACTCCGAGCTTATCAGTCTTCCCATTCCAATCGGAAATCGTCCAGCCTAGCACCTGTCTTTAAAGGAGCCAAAATACCGAGCTGGAAGAGTGTATTTATCAGGCAAAGTGCGCATTCATTTTTGTATCCCCAGCAATGCAAGACAATTCTGGGGCACAAAGATGAAAACCAGGTCCCTGCCACAGCTTGCAGTCCCACGAGGAATGGCTCCAACACAGCGGCACAGTCCTGACGCCGGGGTGCCCGGGCTGCCAGGAAACCAAGGCTCAGAAGCATCTTCTAGGGTTGGGTCTTGACACACACACACACACCCTCTTTTTTTCAAAAATGATTAATTTGGAGCTGGCAGATGGAATGGTGGTTAAGGCCCTGGACTCTTACACGGCAACCACGGTTCAAGTCCCAGACCTGGTGGCCGGTTTTCTCTCCTCTAATTATTAATAATAATAATTAATAAATATTTAAAAAAATTAAAAAAAAGAATGATTGGGGCCAGCAGATGGCATGGTGGCTAAGGGTGCTGGACTCCCACATGGCCAACCGCAGTTTGAGTCCTGAACCTGGTGGCTTGCTCTCTCACTCTCCCCTACCATCACTCTGTCCCTCTGTGGTCAAATTAAAACAAATAAATAACTAAATAGAGTTAAGCAAAATAATTCTTTAAAAAAAGAAAAAGAATTATTTGGGGTCAACAGATGGCATAGCAGCTACATTGCCGGACTTCCACATGGCCAAACACAGTTCAAGTCCTGGACCTGGTGGCTTGAAACTCACACTGGGTACATGTACATGCGTGTCCAGGATCCCAGGAAGAGAAGGGAGAAAAAGGGACTGTGGCGTGGTCACCTCCCCTGGGGGTGATTTCTCACTTTCCCTCTCACTATCTCTGTCTCTCCAGTGAGCACACAAAGGCAAAAACCTGTTAAAAAATAAATAAATAAAATAAAGAAGAAAGAATTATTTAATTTCATTTATCATTATTATTATTATTTTAGTTTGCTATAGGGCACATGCACTCACCAGAGAGAAAAAGAGAAAGTGAGAAAGCAAACCATGAAGTCCAGGACTCGAACCACAGGAAGCCATGTGGGAGTCCAACGCCCCAACCACCACACCACCTGTTGGCCCAATACATCATTTCCTTACCTGCACCAACTCTCTACCACCCCTCTCCTAGGTACTCTCCACTCCCACTCCAAATGCCGGCTGAGCCTCTGCAGGAAAACCTGACTCCAGGAATTAGGTCGGGTCTCCCGCTGTCTGTGTTACGGAACCCTGAAAGTGCCCACCTCATCCTGAATCAGTTTGTAGTCACGTATGTTAGTAGGATTGTTTGCTGAGACTGTGCGGTTCTCACTGTCCTTTGAGCACTGGAAGTAGAACCTTTGACACACGCACAAAGTATTTGGCTTCGTAAGACCACATCTGGCTCTCAGAGAGGAGCAGTTCACATTTGGTGAGCGGATCACCAGAGAATATTTTTCCTAATTATTAAGAGATTCTACACTGCATCTTATCTTTACTATAACTAAGATTTCCTACTACCATGGCTTTTCAATTTTTTTTTGAGAGGTTTCTGCTGTAGGGCGCATGTGCTCACCAGAAAGACAGAGAGAGACAGAGAGATGGAAAGAGAGAAATCACTCCCCAGGGGGGATGAGCATGCTGCAATCCCTTCTCCTCCATTCTCTCGGGATCTTGGGCATGCGCGCACACACGCCCGGCATGAGTTTAAGCCACTGGGTTCGGGACTCGAACCACAGTCGGCTACATGGGGAAAAAAAAAAAAAAAAAGAAGAGAGTTCTTGTATGGAAGTTGAGCGACACAACCATTACGCTAACTGCTGGTCCCTCAAATTTATTAACATCTTCATGAATCTAATCAGTACATCTGGGGGCCAGCTGGTGGCATGAAGGTTAAGGTGTTGGGATTCTCACATGGCCAACTGCGGTTTGAGTTGGACCTGGCGGCTTAAAAATCACACACTGGGTCTGTGTGCCTGTGGAGAAGGGATTACCATGTGCCCTTCCCCCGGGGGCTGATTTCTCGCTTTCTCTCTCTCTGTCTTGCACATGTGCCCTATGCTAAAAAACTTTAAAAAAAAAAAAAAAAGAGTACATCTGATTGATCGTCTACATTGTTGAGTTAACTGTGGATTCAACAAGACAGTGTGTGTAAACAGGACAGCGCTCACCACACAGTGTGTATCCACTAGGTAGCTGCCTCTGTAACTGCAATGTCAACATTCTTCTTACCCAAAGCCGTCCCACCGTTTTCTTCAAGACCCGTTTTGCTGTGCCTTCTTTATTTTTTAAGTTTATTTATTATTATATTTTTAATGTTCCATTGAATCACATATATCTTTACAGTGTCTTACATTTCTTTTTCCAGCGCGACTACCATGCATATTAGTCAAGAAAGACATTACTATCCACATCATCATCAAATAGCTTTTCATCTATTTTTTCCACTCTTCCATCTATTGTAAATTAACTCCACTAACCCATAACCTCTCCCAAGAAGTTGCCTCCACTTATTCTGTGGTTGTAACAAACTTAGCTCTTTGCTGGGCAAATGGCTTCAGGTGCAGCTACTTGGTAGAGGTGTCTGATCTTCCATGTCACAGGAACCATGACGCGGTCCTATCTCTCCCGACCAGTCCACGCCAGCAATTCTAGTGTGAGCAGACCCCTCCTTCCCCAGCTTGCTCAGGTCCACACCAGCATCGTGCTATGTCTCCCTTACCTTCTCCATTCACAAGTTCCAGGAGCTCACAGAAGTAAAGATGGTGACCTCAGGACTTGCTGGCCTCATCCCTGTCTAAGGAACCTGCTTGAATCTGGAGCCCCAGGACTAATGCAGCCATGTTTCATGCTCGTGTCCCAAAGACACCACCAAAACTGTGGGGGGGTGAACACAACTGACCCAACGTGACCACAGCTTGAGAACACAAGGTGGGCTGATCTGATTCCCTCCCCAGGAAACCAGCTCTAGGAAACACAAAGAAAAACACGCGCTCAACGAGGAACTGGAGCCAGAAGGATGCACAAAGGGGCAGAAGACTCTGTGTGTGATGTCTTAGCTCTGAGGAAGCAGGGGATTGGGGCCAGCAGGTAGCATGGTGGTTGAGGGCACTGGACTCCCACAAGGCTGACCAAGGCTCGAGTCCTGGACCTGGCAGCTTTGTTTCTCACTTTTCCCCCTCTCTCTCTTGCTCTATCCCTCTCTGGTCAAATTAAAAGTAAATACATAGGGGCTGGCAGGTGGTGTGGTGGTTAAGGGTGCTAGACTCTCACATGGCCAACCATGGGTTCAAGTCCCAGACCTGGTGGCTTGCTTTCTCTCTCTCACTTTTGTGCTGTCCCTCTCTGGTCAAATGAAAATAAATCAATAGAGTTAAATAAAATTATTTTAAAAAAAGAAAAAAGGCAGGGAGTTTGAGAAAACCAATGACAATAAGGCGGAAGCTAGGAGAAGAAAGAACACCAAGCACAACTGGCGATGCAAGGGGAAAGCTGCCCTGATGGCACAAGACACCCAAAGAGGAGTCCTAAGAACTGCAAAGCAGAGCCTGACCGGCTCCCAGTCAGTCCTCAGGGCTCCGTGCACCCGTGCACCCGGCTTCCCTCATGGCCCAGGCAAGCTTGAGCCTCCCCAGCAAAAGAACCCCCTGTAGGCCAGCCTGACTCCAATCCTCTGCAGACCAGTGGGCTCAGGTCCAACACTCTCACTCCCACAGGTCGCAGTAACCCTCCCGTCCAGTAAATGAGCTCCAACTCCCGCCTCTCACGCCTCCTCTCAGACCCCCAAACCACAGGCCCTGCTGGGCAAGGCTGTGAAGCCACCTCTGGTGCCCAGGCTCCACTCCACCCCTCTGCGTTCCCCCAGTGGCTGTCCGGACTTCCCAGTCCCCTCGACATTGACCCAGCGCCCTTCCTCAGCAGACTCCATCGAGAAACTGAGACTCTCCGGGCCTCACCAGCCTGCCCTCCACTACAGAAGGCTGGAGCAGGACTCTGGAGTTAATGGCCACACAGCCCGGGAAGCTTCCCTCCCTTCCACGCCCGCTCCACGTGCCCCCAGGCTGAGGACACGGGCAGCTCCCCGCCACTCCCTGACGCTGAGTACCAACACCTGCTGTCTGAATGACCCAGGAATATCAGGCCTGCAGTCATCCCACTGCCACCTGTCCTCCTCCTCCAATATATGAGGGGACATGGGAAACTGTGGGGTGGGGCCCAGGTGGCATGGTGGCTAAGCGCACTAGACTCTCACATAGCTGACTGATGTGGTTCATGTCCCGGACCTGGTGGCTTGGTTTCTCACTTCCTCCCTTTCTCCATCTCTCTCTGGCCAAATAATAATAATAATAATAATAATAATAATGATAAAATTAAATAAATATATATTTTTTAAAGTGTGTAGGGTCCAGTAGGTGGTAGAGTGGTTGAGGCACTGAACTCCCACATGGCCAACTGTGGTTTGAGTCCTGGACCCAGCGGCTTAAACATCACATCAGGCACACGTGTGTGCATGCCCCAAATCCCGAGAGGAGAAGGGATTTCAGCATGGTCATCCTATTGGGAAGTGATCTCTCACTTTCCCTCTCTTTGCCTCTTTCTGGAAAGCATAAAATGACTTACAGCAAAAACCTAAAAAAAAAAAAAAAGTCTGTAGAAAAATAAAAGTCCAAGTTCAAGTTCGTTTTGATGCAAAGAATTCTAAAACCCATGCATTTTTAATATAATATGTATTTTCCATAAACTTTCATGCTTTGTCTTTTCAATTACTTTATTTAATTTGACCAGAGAAGGACAGAGTGAGAGAGAGGTTGAGAGAGAGGGAAAGTGAGAAAGCAAGCCGCCAGGTTTGGGACTCGAACCACAGATAGCCATGTGGGGATCCAGCGCCCTTAACCACCGCACCATCTGCCAGACCCTTCCATAAACTTTTAAAGGCCCCTTGTACTGTCAGGTTGTAATCATGACAAGATAAAAACATTTTGTTACGATGAAATTAAAAATCATATCTATGATAGCTTTGTCAAAACATTTTGGGTTGTTTTCTTTTTAATGGCCAGAGAGTGTGTGCACTTGACACAGAAGGAGAGAGAGAGAGAAAGCAATGCCCAATGGAGTGTGGTCACACCACAAGTCTTCTGTCTTTATTCCTTTTACTGTCAGGATTTGGGGCACACACACACGTACCCAGCATGTTCTTTTTTCTTTCCTTAAATAATTATTTATTTAATTTTATCATTATTATTATTATTTTTTAACTTCATCTAGCACACATGCGCTCACCAGAGACTGACAGAGAGAGAGAGAGAGAGAGAGAAAGCCACCAGGTCCAGGACCCAACCGCGGTCAGCCACTGGGGAGTCCAGTGCCTTAACCACACATGCCACCTACTGGCCCCCAATATAATGATCTTCAAAAATAAATGTTGGGAACAGGAGATGGCACAATGGTTACATCGCTGCACTCTCACGTAGTCGACCACAGTTTAAGTCCCGGACATGGCAACTTAAACCCATGCCGTGTGTGTGTGTGTGTGTGTGTGTGTGTGCCCAAAGTCCCGAGAGGAGAATGGAGAACATCCCCCTGGGGGGCGTGATTTCTCTTTTTCTGTATCTCTGTCTCTCTCTGGTGAGCACACATGCACTAGAGCAAAAATCGCTGAAAAAAAAGAAGTTGAGGGGACAGCAAGTGGCGTCATGTTTAAGGCTCTGGATCACCACATGGCCAACCATGGTTTGAGTCCTGGACCCTGTACCTTGAAAATGACAACTAATAAATAAATAAGGAAGTGTTTAAATAATAAATAAAGTTCATTTTATTTATTTCTTTAATATAAGAGACAGACAGACAACTACTCTTGACAGGCTCTCACCACAATCCTTCCCCCAGCCTCCTAGCCAGCAAGGTCTATGCCCACACGCAGGCGTGCCTGGGCTAACCCACACTGCTGCACGGCTCTGCAGTGGGCACACTGCCGGTGCCAGAGTGCCTGGACCTACACTTCTCGTAGAGGTTCTTATCTCAGGGCATGTGCGCTCACTGGAGAGAGAGACAGAGACAGAGAAAAAGCAAGAAATCACTCCACGGGGGGATGGCCACACCACAATCCCTTATCCTCCATTCTCCTGAGATCCTGGGCACAAACACACACACAGCATGAGTTTCAAGCCACCAGGTCCAGGACTCAAACCGCGGTTTGCCACACGCAAGTCCAGTGACATAACTGCTAGGCCATCTCAGGTAACCAAAATCCTACCACAACAATTTTTCTTTTAAAGAATTATTTTATTTAACTTTATTTATTTATCCATTTAGTTAAATTTGACCAGAAAGGGACAGAGTGAGAGAGAAAAGGAAAGTGAGAAAGCAAGTCACCAGGTCTGGGACTCAAACCATAGTCAGCCACGTGGGAATCTTGTATCCTTAACCACCACACCCGTGCCAACTCCTACCATAACAATTTTTAAAAAGGAGGCCAGCCCCATAGTGTGGTAGTTAAGCCCTGTACACAGGGTGCTGGAGCCCACATCCCTGATCGTGGTTTAAATCCCAACCCTGGCACCCAGAAAATCATGCTGGGTGCATGTGTGCATGTCCACAATCCTGGTGAGATGGAGGAGATGGAGGAAAAAGGACTGGGGTGTGACAATGCCCCTCTGGAGGGCTCTATCTCTCACCCACCACGCACCCTCTGGCAACTAGCAGAAAAAAAAAAAAAAAAAAGAAAAGAATTTTTACTTTTTAAATAATTAATGAATGGGGCCAGCAGGGGGCTGGTGGTTAGGGCGCTGGACTCCCACATGGCCAACCGTAGTTCAAGTTCCAGACCTGGTGACTTGAAAATCGGGCCAGGCATTCTTACATGCATGTCCAAAATGCCAAGAGGAGAATGGAGGAGAAGGGATGATGGCACAGGCATCCCCTGGGAGGAGATTTATCACGGTCTCTCTTTCTCTGGCAACGCACGCACCTTATAGCAAAAATGTAAAAAACAAAAAATACTGATTCACTGATATATTTTCCCCTGCTGGAAAAATATAGTTATTTTTGGTCATGCTACAGTAATCCTAGGTCTTATGTAAAAGTTCTTTGATAAGAACTTTTGGAATCTGCCAACATCTAGACCCCACAGGGAAGGCGTTCTAAGCAGAAGCAGCTGGACTCTGTGACGGCCAGACCAGCAGGGCCACACTCGGGGCCAGGCTGTTCCCCGGGGAGGTCCCACGAGGTCCGAGCCGCCCACCTCAGTCCTGCTGGGGTCAAACTGCTGCAATGATGTAGGGACCTCACTTTGGGTGAGGCAGGAGGAGAAAATGTTTGTAATCGCCACGAACTTAATTAAAAAAATACCTGTAATCCACTAAAAGATGGAACGAAATAAACTCCTTCAGAGTCTTCTAAACTCTCAGCCATCTTCTCCGTCTCAGCAGCTTCTGTGAAAAGATCTGCAAAAACAAACAAAATGAAGGGGCCAGGGAGGGACAGAGAGAATTTGGCTCCAGGACCGATATGTACCTGCACCCACGTTTCCTCTGACTGTCACACGAGGCTGCTCAGAGGCCACCCATCCTCGCCCCGGGGACCTCTCACACGGCGTGTTCTATGAGCACGTGGATGGGACAAGGAGGACAGAAGGCCCTCGGGCAGGCTCTGTATGCTGCAGCCTTACTTTTTCTTTGAAGATATTTGGACTGAGGACCAGCAGGTGGTGTAATGGTTATGTCGCTGGACTCCCACGTAGTTGACCGTGGTTCAAGTCCTAGACCCAGTGGCTTATAGTCACGCCGGGTGCGTGTGCGTGCGTACCTAATATCCCGAGAGGAGAATGGAGGAGAAGGGATCGTGGTGTGGCCATCCCTCCTGGGGGGTGATTTCTCGCTTTCTGTCTCTCTGTCTCTCTCTGTCTTTCTGGCAAGAGCACGCTCCCTATAGCAAAAACCTCTCCCCCCCCAAAAAAAAAAAAATACAAGTACCGGGCGTGCTGGTGTATGCCTGCAGTCCCAGCTGCCCAGGAGGCTGAGGCAGGAGGGCCCTAACATAGCAAGACCCTGTCTTTAAAAAAGGAATTTTAAAAAGGAAGAAAGAAAACGCTGGTTAAAAAAAAATCAGCCTATGGTCAAGGGTGCTGGATCCCACATGGCTGACTATGTGATATGAATCCCAGCCCCAGTGAGCTAAAAAACACACTGGGCGCATGTGCACACGTGCCCAAATCCATCCAGGATGGAGAAATGGCGGAGAAGGAACCACGCCCCGTCAGGGTTTGCTTTCTCCCTTTCTCTCTGTCTCTCTGTCTCTCTCGGGTGAGCACAGATACTCACTGGCAAGTAAAAAAAAAAAAAGGTCATGTCCAAGTATCTGAATTTTAAAATCAAGACAAGATGTGGAAAGTTTCCGGTACCAAATGGAAATCAACACAAGATGGAGCTTTTTCACATTCTTCACCGTTTGTCCCATCCCTTGCTCGAAGCACTGCCCTAACCTTCCACTTGAACCTCGGAGTGAGCACACCCACTACCCCCGCCCCAGTGCGACTGGAGAATCCCGGACGGAATGCACCAGAACGCTCAGGGCGGAGCGAGCAGCAGACGGGAGGACTCCACATGCCAGCAAACTGGCGGGGAGTTTCCTGTTTTCTGTGTCCTCTGGTATCTTCTGGCCTAGACTCAGGGACAGCCTGAAACTTGAAACCCGGATCCGTACCCCGGGTACAAACAAGAGGAGCTTCCAGAGAAGCTCAGCCTTTCTGGTCTGGGAAGCAGGAGTCAGGGGTCTCTGCAGGACGGAGCAGGCAAATTCCCACTGTTGGTTCCTGGGACTTTGTCATCCTCGCAGGCCCCAGCTCCCAGGCAACCCCATGGCAGTATAATGGCAGCCAGCAGCACAGACACCCAGACCTGCAAACCAGGAGTCCTGGTGTGAGGCCAGGAGGGAGCACAGAGATAACACGACGGACCCACAGCCAAAAGGTCCTGGGTTTGCGCCCGGGACTGCCTGAGCACACCAGGCACGTGTGTGCTCATGATCCAGGCCAGCCGAAGTGGGCTTCTCCCTCTCTCACGTTCATAGAATAAAAAAAAAAAAAAAAAAAAAAGAGGGGCCAGCAGGTAGCCTGGCGGTTAAGGGCACTGGACTCTCACATTGCCAACTGCATATCGAGTCCTGGACATGGCAGCTTGCTTTCTCACTTTCCCTTTCTCTCTCTCTCTGTCATTTTCTGGTCAAATTAAAAATACTAACAAATAAAAAATTTTTTAAAAAGGTAAAAAGAATCCTTTCCACCCAAACCTCCCCCAACTGACTGTCTAGGGCGGCCTAGACGCACACAATCCTGTGGCCGCAGTGACAACAGAAACAGCATGAGAGACACCAGAAACTCATTCAGGAAACCCCTTTTCTCTCCCCACCACCTTCTCTGCACCCTCTGGGCACTTGGCAGGGGATAGAAGTGGCCGCAGAAGGGGTCAGGGGAGAGACCAGCAGTTGGCCTAATGGCTATGTTGCTAGACTCCCACGTAGTCGACCACAGTTTGAGTCCTAGGCCCGGTGGCTTAAACTTATGCCGGGCGCGTGTGCGTGCCCAAGATCCCAAGAGGAGAATGGAGGAGAAAGGACTGTGGCATGGCCATCGCCCCTGGGGGGTGATTTCTCGTTTTCTGTCTCTCTGACTGTCTCTGTCTTTCTGGAGAGCGCACACACCCTATAGCAAAAAAGTCTCCAATAACTAAGTAAGTGGTCAGTGGAGGGGCTAAAGCACCGGGGTTCTGCCCAGAACCGTGCAGCACCGAGACCAGGGAGTCAGAAAAACGACCTCTCGAAGATCTTTATGAACTCCTTCTAGCACCCCAGGCTTCACGTGTCAAGACAGTGCCCCCAACCACAAGCCCAGGGAAGGCTTTGAGGACTGATGTCTACGGGGTCACCACCCCGACTGGCCACCAGGTGGCACAATGAGGTGCAGCGAGCAACAGCCCGGCCTGGAAACAGAACTGACAGGAACCCCACAGAAGGTGGTTTGGAACCTGTGACCTGTCCGCGGCTGGCCGACTTGGCACGCTTTAAATCAGGCGGTGGGGACTGTCAGGTGCTGAGGGGCAGAGCTGTGCAAACCGTCAGCACTTGGCTTTCTCCAGGCATGTGCCCATCAGGCCTTGCCCCTGGGCTTGGGCGGAGCAGTTCGGAAAACTCGCAGCGACTCCTGTTTAGCAGGCCCAGGGGTGGCCAGGCCGGCTCGCTCTTCTCCACGTGTGGGCTGCATTTTCTCCCAGTTCAGGAGGTGCACCCTGAGAGAGCAACAGGGTGGGTCCCTGCCAGTTGCTAGTATTTTCACCAACAACGAGACAGCCTGGGTCCGCACAGCTTGCCGGAGACGTCGTGGTCCCCAGCCGGGGTCTGCACAGCCTGAGACGTCGTGGTCCCGGGCCTGGGTCCTCACAGCCTGCCCGAGATGTCGTGGTCCCTGGCTGGGGTCTGCACAGCCTGAGACATCGTGGTCCCGGGCCTGGGTCCTCACAGCCTGCCCGAGATGTCGTGGTCCCCGGCCGGGGTCTGCACGGCCTGCCCCAGATGTCGTGGTCCTGCCTGCCTGGGTTCCACTCAGCCCCAGCAGCAGGACACACTCCCACTGTCACCTCGGCAGAAGCAGAGAGGGCGCCAGGGCCAGAGCTGAGACTGCAGCCTCCTCTGCACCCTGGGCCCTCCCAGACGCCTAGCTCTCACCCACGTAGAACCTGCTCATCCGTGAGATGTTTATCTCGTCTCTAATGAGAGAAACCGCACCCTCTCGGGAAGGTAACACAGAGAAGGGGCCCATTTCCTTGCTCTGAGTAAACAAGTCCCGGGTAGTTTGAAATAAACAAATCCCCATGGACCTCTTATGGGGACTGCTAGGAGCAGGCAGATGTGACAGGTAGCAATTAAAAAACGACACTGCGAAGGAAAAGCTGTCCCCTGACCCTTGTTACTGGAGAACAGCAGAGGTGGAACTGCCTGAACTGCAGGAAGAACTAGGGCACTCTTTCAGCCCTTAAATAGCTCAGCCGGCTCCCTGCCTGGGGCTTCCCCTGGTGCTGCTCTCGGCTGAGACCACCCCTCCGCTCACTGCCTCCCCACTGCCGGTTCCTCTTGTTCTTGTTCCTTCAGGGTCGAGCTGAAACACCGCTTCTTTAAAGAAGCCTTCTGATTCTCCATAGAAAAAGTCCTCCCTTTAGAAAGCAATCACTGAGGGGCAGCAGATGACATGGCGGTGAAGGGCATTGGACTCCCACATGGGCGACCATGGTTTGAATCCTGGACCTGGTGGTTTGCTTTCTCACTTTCTCTTTCTCTCTCTCTCTCTTTCTCTGTCCCTCTCTGGTCAAATTAAAATAAATAAAGTTAAATAAAATAATTCTTTAATGAAAAAAAGGAGAAGACAGCAATCATCGATCCTACTACTGCTTTTCCTTCCTGGCACCTAACACTGACTTTTAAAAAAATTATTCTTTTAGCAGGCTGGCTCTGTGGCCTAGTGGTTAAGAAAGCCAGATTATACATAACCAATAGCAAGGTTCAAATCCAGGCCCCAGCAGCTTGATAAATACTCTGCGTGTTGTGGATGCATACCCCAAACCCTGATGGGATGGGGAACTGGAGACTGAAGTGTGACCACACTCCACTGGGAAGCTTTCTCCCTCCCCCTCTCCCTCCATCTCTCCTTCACTGGCAAGTGCATGCACCCTCTGGCAATGTTTCTTTTAATTGTTCATTTAATGTACGTCTTTCCTGATAGATTCTACCCTCTAAGAGGGCAAAGACTGTCACAGTGTCACCAGCACACACATCCCAGACAGGTACTGAGCACTCAGCTACTTGCTAGTTGAACAAGAGCTGGGAGATGAAAACCTGTGTAAGACTGAGGCAGTACAACAGGACAAAGAGCAAGGGGGAGCAGAAATGGGCCAAATCAAAAAGAAAAGGGATGGTCATGGGGAAACCCAAATGGGCCAGTTAACGAAGGAGTCTGCAGTGGAAAACATGAGAGAAAAGTGGAATGAAGAACTTTGTTGTTTTTGTTTTCATACCCAGAGAGTGCATGGACTCACCAGAGACAGAGAGGGAAAGGAAAAACCCTCAATAGGGCATGGTCATGCTGCAATCCCTTCTCCTCCATTTCTCCATCCTGTTGTGACTTGGAGCATGCACGCACACGAGTACGCACACGCGCGTGCACGCACACACACACACACACACACAAACACACACACCTAGAATGCTTTTCAGTTTACTGAGCTGGGATCGGAACACAGTAAGCTGTGAGGGATCCCAACCAGAGAGAGAAACGGAGGAGAGGGGATTGCAGGGGGACCACGCCCCACTGGGAGGTGAGTGCCCCCTTCCTCTCCCCCTGTCTCCCCGTTTCTCTCTGGTGAGAGCATGTGTCCTCTGACAAACAGACAAACCTGGAAACATCACGATGAGACAGTTTCAGGCAGCTGTCTTTCCATCTGAGCCTGAGTGCTCAGTCAGTAGGAGGAGGGAAGGGGCTACCACGCTGGTGAACAAGCCGGCCTCGCACGCCTGCCACACAGGCTCAGAGCCAGCAGCGTCCACTCATGTTCAAGGACGCGACAGACAGGGCCACTCGGGCTCTTATCTACCCTGCGTCTGGTGATACAACCAAGTTTCTGTCTTTTAAAAAAATACCTATTTAAGCGGATTCTCAGAAAGGGATATATTCACGTAAATGGTGGCTTTTTGTGTGAATTTAAGACACATACGTATCAGTAATACTTAGTGTGGCCACTGATTGAGACTTTGTATCTGTTGAGGTGTGTGACGGTGTCTTTCCCTGGACTAATATGCAGTGTATTCATGCTGGGAAAATACATGTCGCATGCTGCAACTCTATATAGTGACCAAATATATTAAAATATATATATATATACACACACACATATGTGTGTAAAATTTAAAAAGAAATTTTGAGGTAAATAATTCAACTCTTGATTTCTCTCTCCCCCAAATTAGACCACTACTCTCATCTTCCTGCCAGAGCCAGGACTGGCCTTCAGGCAGGACGTGTACCTTCTATTGGAGTGCACACGACTTTCTGAGGTTGGAGACATTTAGTCTTATCTCCCAGAAAAGAGATTTCACCATCTAAGAATCACAATAGGTTAAGCCTCAGAGGAAATGATTCCCGTTGATACTGTGCACATGATGTTATATGGAACTCAGGAATGTTTTTTGTTTGTTTTGTTTTTTGGAGAGGTTTTCACTATAGGGCGCGTGCGCTAGCCAGACAGACAGAGAGAGACAGAGAGACAGAAAGCAAGAAATCACCCCCCAGGGGGGATGGCCATGCCGCAATCCCTTCTCCTCCATTCTCCTCTCGGGATCTTGGGCACGCATGCACACATGCCTGGCGTGAGTTTTAAACCACCGGGTCCGGGATGCAAACCACGGTCGGCTACATGGGAGTCCAGCGACATAGCCATTATGCTAACTGCTGGTTCCCAGGAATTTTTTTTTAAATCTGACACACGTGAGATGAACTATTCTGCTTTTTCTTTGCATCTTTTTGGAAGGAGCAAAATTAATGAAAGCTGTAACTAAAAAGAGGAGAAAGCCTGTATTTTTTATTTCTGATCACCTAGAGTTATCCAAAGACACATGTCCAGAATATTAAAAAAAATATATAGACACATTTAAGGAGAAAGAGACTTTCGAGTGATAGTTTTGAAATAAGTATGTTTTGTTAATAAATAATCTCAGGCTCATCATATAGGGTCAAGAGAACGAGGCAGAAAGGTCGAAAGGAAGAAACTGGCTGGCATGTTCCTCCTACAAAGACATCTTTGTCTTTACACAAACCGATTCAGTTACAAAAGAGCAAAGCAGAGAGTCAGAGCCCGCCTAGTAATTTAATCATCGGACAGAACCACTCCTAACACTTGGGCATATCAGAGTTCACATTTCATGCAGGAAATACAGCTCCATAATAAATAGCTAGTCATTACTCCTAACAGTCAAAAAGCAGAAAGAGCCCAATGTCCATCAACTGCCGAACGGATAAATTACGTCTCTCCGTGTAATTAAATATCATTCAGAAATAAAAAGGAACGAGATACTGATAGATGCTACAACATAGGTGATGTTTAAAACGTGACACGGCGTAAAAGAAGCCGGTCACAAAAGACCACCTACAACACGTGAGCCCATTCAGACGAAGGGTCCAAATGGGCAATCCGGAGACAGAGTAGACTGAAAGTGTCCTAGGGCTGGGGTGGGGGAAGGAGCGGGGAGGCACAGGACGCCACTGCTAATCCGTATGGAGTTTCTTTCCGAGAGAACAAAAACGCTTTACTATCAGATTATGGTGACGGATGGACCACTCTGTGAAAATACTAGAAAACACTAAATTATAACTTGAAATACATATAAATTACATCTCAGTAAAGTAGTTCAAGATGAAAGATGTTTCCTTTTATTCTGTCACTCCTCCATCCCTCCTTAATGTATCACAATATTCTGTGTCAACAAGATATGAGGGGCCAGCAGACGGCATAGCGGTTAGGGCGCTGGACTCCCACGTGGCCAACTGTGGTTTGAGTCCCAGACCTGGTGGCTTGAAACTCACACTGGATGCGTGTGCATGCACACCCAAGATCCTGGGAGGAGAACAGAAAAGAAAGGACTACAGTGTGGCCATCACCCCTGTGAAGGTGATTTCTCACTTTCCCTCTCACTGTCTCTGTCTCTCTCTCCAGTGAGCACATATGCCCTAAGACAAAAACCTCTTAAAAAACTAAATAAGATATGCAACTACACTGTTATTTTTAAGTGATTATACAATGATCCACTGGGTGAATATACTGACATTTACTTACTTAATGCTCTATTCAAATTATTAGATAACATTTATTGCCAACTGCTGAGAAACACCCACGTACGTAACCAGGTCTTCGTATGCCTGAACGATTACCTTCATAGAAAACAAAGAACAGAACTGAGGGAACAGGTCTGCACTCTCTAAGATCACACATATAGGGGGCGTAGCAGGTGGCATGGCGGTTAAGGCGCTGGATGCTCCCACATGGCTGACCACGGTTTGAGTCCTGGACCTGGTTGCTTGCTTTCTCATTTTCTCTCTCTCTCTCTCTCTCTGTCTCTCTCTGGTCAAATTAAAAGAAAAGAATGAATAAATTAAAAAAAAAGAAGTCACACATATTGCCAGAAAGGCCGTATAACCAACATTCACCCCGAAAGAAAACAGAACACCTTCCTCTACCTTTCCACCAGCGCTAAGCACTGCCAGGCTTAATGTCCTACAGCAGACTCACAACGGACAATGGTAGATGACAGCATGTTTTGAATGTATAATTTCTTAGACTCTTGAACATAAAAATGGCATTTCATAATAATCATCTGCTTATGCAATAACCTGTTATTTGTCCAAATGTTAGTTCCAGCCTCACACACCACACACTCTAATACCGTATATACCTGAACAGCCTCACACACTACACACTCTAATACCGTATATACCTGAATAGCCTCACACACCACACACTCTAATACAGTATATACCTGAATCTATTACCGTGTGTCCTTATGGTCCCTGATCTTAAGGCCTACCCCAAGAGGAGAAAGCTATCCACATTTTCTTCTAGTACATGCCATTTTACTTTTTTTTTTACACGCCACTTTACATCAAGTTTTTTATCTGAACAATCTGTTGGTTTCACGCAACCCTGGGCACTGTGGGCTTCTTTAGCCCAGCCTGTGAGAGCCATTTACGGGATGACTCACCCAGCTGCTGGGCCCAGTTTATGGCAGTACCGGTGTCTCCAGCGTTGCCTTCGGCTAAGCACACGACTTCTTGCCCAATCTTCCACCCAATTAACGGATAAAAGCCTTGAAAACCAAAAAATGACATAAGTCATATAATAAATACAAAACTCACAGGCCAGCCCATGGCGTTGTGGTTGAAGAGTTGGATCCCACATGGCTAACTACATGTTTTCATGTCCCAGACCCGGTGGCTTTGAGAAACATGCTGGGTGTACATGTGTGTGCGCGCCCAAAACCCCCAGAGGAGACACGGAGAAAGGACTGCGTATGCCACCCCACTGAGGTGCTTTCTCACTCACAACCCAAACCCTGCAAGCACACAGGCCCTTTGACAATTTTTTTTTTTTTTTGGAGAGGTTTTTGCTTTAGGGCGCATGCGCTCACCAGAAAGACAGAGAGACAGAAAGTGAGAAATCACCCCCTAGGGGGGATGGCCACACCGATCCCTTCTCCTCCATTCTCCTCTAGGGATCTTTGGCATGCACACACATGCGCCCGGCGTGAGTTTAAGCCACCAGGTCCAGGACTCGAACCGTGGTCGACTATGTGGAAGTCCAGCAACATAGCCATGACGCTAACCACTGGTCCCTCCTCTGATTTCCTTTTGGGATTTAAGGGCATACACACAGGCTCCCGGCCTGATTTTCAAGATGCTGAGTCTGGAACCCAAACCACACAGTCAGGCATGTGGGATCAGCTGCCTTAGCCAATATGTCACTGGCTGGGGGCTTTTAAAAATATATTTTTTGGGGGGGGTTTTTTGTAGGGGGGCTGGCAGGTGGCATGGTGGTTAAGGACACTGGACTCCCACATGGCCAACTTCGGTTCGAGTCCTGGACCTGGCAATTTGCTTTCTCTCTCTCTCTCTCTCTCTCTCTCTCTCTCTGGTTGTGTCTCTCTCTGGTCAAATTAAAATAAAAAAATAAATAAACTTAATCCTCTCGGGATCTTGGGCACGCATGCACACATGCCTGGCGTGAGTTTTAAACCACCGGGTCCGGGATGCAAACCACGGTCGGCTACATGGGAGTCCAGCGACATAGCCATTATGCTAACTGCTGGTTCCCAGGAATTTTTTTTTAAATCTGACACACGTGAGATGAACTATTCTGCTTTTTCTTTGCATCTTTTTGGAAGGAGCAAAATTAATGAAAGCTGTAACTAAAAAGAGGAGAAAGCCTGTATTTTTTATTTCTGATCACCTAGAGTTATCCAAAGACACATGTCCAGAATATTAAAAAAAATATATAGACACATTTAAGGAGAAAGAGACTTTCGAGTGATAGTTTTGAAATAAGTATGTTTTGTTAATAAATAATCTCAGGCTCATCATATAGGGTCAAGAGAACGAGGCAGAAAGGTCGAAAGGAAGAAACTGGCTGGCATGTTCCTCCTACAAAGACATCTTTGTCTTTACACAAACCGATTCAGTTACAAAAGAGCAAAGCAGAGAGTCAGAGCCCGCCTAGTAATTTAATCATCGGACAGAACCACTCCTAACACTTGGGCATATCAGAGTTCACATTTCATGCAGGAAATACAGCTCCATAATAAATAGCTAGTCATTACTCCTAACAGTCAAAAAGCAGAAAGAGCCCAATGTCCATCAACTGCCGAACGGATAAATTACGTCTCTCCGTGTAATTAAATATCATTCAGAAATAAAAAGGAACGAGATACTGATAGATGCTACAACATAGGTGATGTTTAAAACGTGACACGGCGTAAAAGAAGCCGGTCACAAAAGACCACCTACAACACGTGAGCCCATTCAGACGAAGGGTCCAAATGGGCAATCCGGAGACAGAGTAGACTGAAAGTGTCCTAGGGCTGGGGTGGGGGAAGGAGCGGGGAGGCACAGGACGCCACTGCTAATCCGTATGGAGTTTCTTTCCGAGAGAACAAAAACGCTTTACTATCAGATTATGGTGACGGATGGACCACTCTGTGAAAATACTAGAAAACACTAAATTATAACTTGAAATACATATAAATTACATCTCAGTAAAGTAGTTCAAGATGAAAGATGTTTCCTTTTATTCTGTCACTCCTCCATCCCTCCTTAATGTATCACAATATTCTGTGTCAACAAGATATGAGGGGCCAGCAGACGGCATAGCGGTTAGGGCGCTGGACTCCCACGTGGCCAACTGTGGTTTGAGTCCCAGACCTGGTGGCTTGAAACTCACACTGGATGCGTGTGCATGCACACCCAAGATCCTGGGAGGAGAACAGAAAAGAAAGGACTACAGTGTGGCCATCACCCCTGTGAAGGTGATTTCTCACTTTCCCTCTCACTGTCTCTGTCTCTCTCTCCAGTGAGCACATATGCCCTAAGACAAAAACCTCTTAAAAAACTAAATAAGATATGCAACTACACTGTTATTTTTAAGTGATTATACAATGATCCACTGGGTGAATATACTGACATTTACTTACTTAATGCTCTATTCAAATTATTAGATAACATTTATTGCCAACTGCTGAGAAACACCCACGTACGTAACCAGGTCTTCGTATGCCTGAACGATTACCTTCATAGAAAACAAAGAACAGAACTGAGGGAACAGGTCTGCACTCTCTAAGATCACACATATAGGGGGCCTAGCAGGTGGCATGGCGGTTAAGGCGCTGGATGCTCCCACATGGCTGACCACGGTTTGAGTCCTGGACCTGGTTGCTTGCTTTCTCATTTTCTCTCTCTCTCTCTCTCTCTGTCTCTCTCTGGTCAAATTAAAAGAAAAGAATGAATAAATTAAAAAAAAAGAAGTCACACATATTGCCAGAAAGGCCGTATAACCAACATTCACCCCGAAAGAAAACAGAACACCTTCCTCTACCTTTCCACCAGCGCTAAGCACTGCCAGGCTTAATGTCCTACAGCAGACTCACAACGGACAATGGTAGATGACAGCATGTTTTGAATGTATAATTTCTTAGACTCTTGAACATAAAAATGGCATTTCATAATAATCATCTGCTTATGCAATAACCTGTTATTTGTCCAAATGTTAGTTCCAGCCTCACACACCACACACTCTAATACCGTATATACCTGAACAGCCTCACACACTACACACTCTAATACCGTATATACCTGAATAGCCTCACACACCACACACTCTAATACAGTATATACCTGAATCTATTACCGTGTGTCCTTATGGTCCCTGATCTTAAGGCCTACCCCAAGAGGAGAAAGCTATCCACATTTTCTTCTAGTACATGCCATTTTACTTTTTTTTTTACACGCCACTTTACATCAAGTTTTTTATCTGAACAATCTGTTGGTTTCACGCAACCCTGGGCACTGTGGGCTTCTTTAGCCCAGCCTGTGAGAGCCATTTACGGGATGACTCACCCAGCTGCTGGGCCCAGTTTATGGCAGTAACGGTGTCTCCAGCGTTGCCTTCGGCTA